CCGCCAAAAGGGCAAAGAACGATTAGAGCTGTAGCTTCGAGGAAGGAGGTCTGCTCTATTTTGGTTGTTACGATGGGAGCTATGCAGAGGTACTGCCGAGTTTAGGAGACAAAACATCTGTGTACAAGTTAGTGGAATGAATCACGCTCGATCTCCTGAAACCTGTTATTGACATTATCAGTGAGATAAAGCATGGCGTTTCATACGCGGCGAACGGCAAAGGTGAAACTTTTGCTGTCTGTCTTGGCTGTTGTGATCTAGAGTGAAAACATTTGTATTTGAAGTAAATATTAGGAGTCGTTTTGCTATTTTTATGTGTTATATTTAAAGAAAAGAACACGAGATCTGCAAAATCAAAGAGGTAATTGTTTTACCGTTTGCCGTAAACGTCGAATTGTAGTTACCTGGGACCGCGGTGTGGTCTTCTAAAAGAGTTTCAACGGTCAATATTGTCGAAAAGCATAATATATTAATCAGTCTTTCTGCTACGTGTATTGGCCATTTTAACAGTACTACTCGATATATTTTAAGTAATCACTGCGCTGTAGATCAATTTTTTAAAAAACTATAATACTTAAGTACTGCTTCTAGTCTCCTTCGCAGCCCTAAACGGCTCCGAAGGTGACTATACCGCCTCTTGAGCTCTGGCCAAAAGGTCGTTCAAAGGAAGTGGCACCCGGGAAGTGGTATCTTCCAGTTCGATTTTTTTTGTTAGCGATTTTGAACTTTTTCCAACAGAACTAGTCTTTTTAGTCTAGAAGTCTCGAAGTCTCGAAGGAGATGGCTTTACCTCACTTTGAAATGGCAACTTAAATATTTCGATGGTGAATAGATCATTAGATTAATTGCTACTTGAACCAAAATAATGCTCAAGATCTAGAGAACCACAGTAAGTGTATGTATAACCATCGGTGTTGATGTATTTTGTTTCTTTAATTTCCAGGTCCATGCATGTCTCGTTCAAAGAGAGAAGAGTACTATTGTTCTATACTATTTAATTTTTCAGTAATTTTCAAGCTGTATTTAGATTTTATATTTCCCAAGATTTACTTGAGCAATGGATTATCAGATGGGGAAATGCTTGTTTATGTGTATCACAAGGTACATGGAAATTCCCATGTACCTTGCCATAAGTGTCGTTGCAAGGTACATGGAAATTTCCATGTACCTTGTCAGATGTTTCGTTCGTAGAAGAAAAAAATTGACAGAGATTACCTCAATTACCGATAAATTTGCCAATCGTTTTTAAAATTGGCAAACTTAACAAAATTCGCGTTCTTTCGTGCCAACAGAAAGCTGCCTCTTACATTCTTTAGACCAAAAATAAACATTTAGGTTTACTTTTCACCATATTTGTTACCTTCCTTGCAGAAAACTCCTCTTTTAAGCTGATTCTTGCATTTAGATCTTGGCAAAAATCTTAACTTTTCGGGACATTTTTACCATAGCTGTCTTCAAAGCTCCGGTCCTGGTAAAGTCTTCAGTTGTTTACCCATTTCTTACCAGCTGACATTTTCGATACTCGTGGCAAATTTAAGCACTTGATGCGAAATTGTGCCAAAATGTTGACCACTCTGGCAAAATAATAGCCAAAAAGGGCATTTAATGCCAGATTTGTTAATTTCATCTGGAAAAAATGAAGCCGATTTCCTTTATATGTTCCAGAAATTGCGTTAATATATTCCGTTTGTTTTTAGAACGTGTTTCACTTCATTGATTTGCACAACATCGGCTAAATGTTGGATTGGAACACGTACTTACTTTTGATTGTAATAGAGTTCGTTCGCTGTTCTTCATAAAAGTTTAGACAGGCTTTTGTCATTTATGTAATATTTCCTGCGTTAGTTAAACTTTAGAATCCAGATCACTAAGCAGAATTTGAATTTTTCGAACAGAACACAATATTTTTTTTGTCAAATCCACTTTTTCATGTTTGAACATGCATATAATAATAATTGTTGTTTCAGATCCGCCGGAACCTCCCACGCCTTCAGATGGCAGCATCGGAACAACAGAAGTCTCTGTTGCCTTTAACACTAAGCAAGAGTTGAGTAACGGTGATCCTGTCAGGTCAGTGTAGTAAAATTTTGTCTTCACTTGGTTCTCTGCTCTTCCGATTATGCCAAGTAGCATTGAGTTTGTAGGCGATTTTATTGGTTACTTTGCATCCACAGAGATGAATGGACCAATTTCGATATATTAAAATTCAGCCTAAAACAATAGACCTCAGTACGAGGCTCTGGGGAATAACTACAGAGTTTGTGGGGTTTATTCCCCAGAGCCTCATGCTGAAGTCTATTGTGTTAGGCTGAATTTTAATGTATCGAAATTGGTCTATTGAACTTTGCATTCCTTTGTAGTTGACAAGTACATGTATGCATGCATGCATGCATGCATGCATACATACATACATACATACATACATACATACATACAAACAAACAAACATACATACATACATACATACATAAACTTTATATGAGTGTCGGAGTATTTAGCTAAAGATAACTAATTGGGGACACTAACATAAATACAAATATAAAATATAAAATACTAATATTATATAAAATATATAGGTAGTTAATAATTAAAAGTATGTTTTATAGGTCTAATTAGTTAAAAAATAAGTTCAAGATTACTTAAATTGGTTGTATTATTATTATGTTGAGCAAGCACAGCAGCTGCATCTTCCGTCCAACACATCTGTTAGGTTCATGGCCCGAACTGCTTTTTAAATTCACGAAGGCTTGTTTTGTTGAAATGAAGGCTTGTTTTGTTGAAGATGAAGCCCAAAGGGCGGTTACTGGGAGGGAGGCTGTTAGGATCAGTTGCACGTAAAGAAGATCGAAAAGTAGGACAACCAAGGCCTAGCATAGACTCGAAATTTCGGTTTAGCGGAGGTGGGTGGATTTGAAATCAGTAGGTCTTTGTTTCAAATCCTCTCTCCTCTGACCAGATGGCTCTATCCCTAGTAGTCCCGTGTTCAGCTCCACATTTATGCTATGTAAAATAGCTTACTGGTCAGCTTCCCACAAGCTTCGTCATTTTCAATGTACAATATTTGTTTATTTACAGTGGCCTAAACTTTTAACGCAACAGCGCTTAAATACTATGAAACTTAAAATAAATATATTTTTTCCTTGAATTATTTTCATTTTGCGAGACGCCTGAAACGTCAGTTGTTATTTCACTCGTCATCATTTTAATGCCCACCTATTCCTACACGAATTTTCGTATTATAATGGATTATTAGGGATAATTTGTCTTAAGGTGAAAAGTTCCTTCCTCCGTCCTCCTATTCCTACACGAATTTTCTTATTATAATGAATTATATGGGGTAATTTGTATCAAGGTATAAAAAGTTCCTTCCTCCGTCTTCCTATTCCTACACGAATTTTCATATTATAATGGTTAATAAGGGGTAATTTCTCTTAAGGTATTAGAAGTTCCATCCTCCGTCTGCATCCTACATCCGTTTCCCCTTATTATAGAGTCCACATGGAAGCTACAACCAGTTGCAAAAGTAGTTGAGACATCCTACATAAACGAGAGTAATCTTTCCCCTCTCTCTCCGTCTTTCCAATGTTACTAACTAAGCATTATGACGTACAAAACTTAGATGAACAACATTGAAACGGGAAGAGAGGGGCTAATTGTTCTTCCGTGAAAAATTTGCTATTTGCGATCCTTTTAAGAAAGTAAAGCCATTTTCTGCACAAAGTGTATCAACATTTTTGCAACTGGTTGTAGTTCCGTTGTTTTCTGAAGGAAAAAAAAACTGAAAACGTTATTTTTTTGTAATTCGTTGTTATCCTTGTTCAGTTATTATCGAATGATTGTCGTACCTTTAACGGAAGGACAAGATCCAGGCAAATCATCAGACAAGAAATATGTCACAGTCACTCGAACTTACGACAACCAAGAGGACGGAGAACCTTATATCACAGCTGAGTTTGCCAATGATAAGCAAAGGACAGAGTTTCCTGTTGGGGATGGGAAGTACTACTCAAGAGATGGTGTAACTGAAGCCAGAAGAAAGCGCAGAGCCACAAGTGAGTTGACTGTCAGGTGTTTACAACATTAGGTCTCTTACTGAGCAAACATTTTATTTATTGTTGTCGCGAGGGGCAAAGGGGCACTTTTCAGATTGGTGCAATGTAAATACTCTCCGATATCAGTGGGCGACGTAACCCTACACACTTAAGGCTTGTTTCCTTATGATCCCTGCGATCGTTGCGACCGCTAAAAAGTTAAGTGATCCTTACCACTACCGGAGCACTACTGGAGCCCCACCGGTTTCCATATGATGGCAACGGTCGCTGCGATCATTGGAGATTGGTCTCCATTTGATCGCAACAATCACTTTATTTTTTGCAGTGATCGTAGCGGTCGTATGGTCATATATGGAAACCAGTCTTAACAAAAAAATTGGCAACTTGAAAGGATTCCATGAAAACTACCATTCTTAGTACGGTCTTAGCTCTATATGAAGGACGACAAGGTTTTGCAGCACATGAATCATACAGTAATTTGCATAACATGGTAAAAAATTTGTATGATGCATTAGCAATGAGCTGCTGAATCTTTTGTTTTGCCTTTATACAAATTTTTTATATCTCTCGGTTAGTACGCGCGCTGTGATTGGTCAATTTAGCAGGACGTACTTTCCTGTACGGCCCGCTAAAATTTAAAGTTGGTTCTGTAGCCAAACTGTTTCATGATTTATCGTCAAGTGTTCTTGACTTTTATAGCAAGTGAAAGTTTTAAACTTCCTTATACTCTAAATTATGTAATAAAGCGTGCTAACGACTTAAAAACAATTTCAAACTGACTCGTTTTGCTTTCGAAATGCGTCAGAAATTTGAAACCTTTCCGAGTCCGCGTGAATAGAAATCGCTTCCAAACCCGTCAGGCACACAGTAGAGATATAACAAATATCTTACTAACCTCGTCTTCTCGGTCCGTACTGTAAGTTACGGATTCGCGTTTTTTCCCCTTCGATTTATGACCCGCGCGCTTCGCGCTTGGGCCATAAATCGAAGGGGAAAAAAACTTGTTCCGTAATTTACAGTACGGACCTCGAACTCGGCTGGTAAGAGGTATGTATTTTTGCTCAGCAAAACTTAGTGACCTTAGTGGCTGCCAAGTCCTGCCTGAAAGCCTCGTGTAAAGTCGCCTACTACTCTGTTTAGGTGCAAAACTGACATCCATGCCGAACGATTGCAATATTTTTGTTGAAATGTTACTTGCGTTTGGCTGGGCCTTTACAGTGCCAGTAGATAAGCCAAGTTTTACATCGGTTGCCCTATACATGTTATTTTTTCCTTCATTTCTACTGAAAAAATGACGCCATTTTCTGAGTGTAGGTAGGACATTGAATTTGACTCCTTCACGTCTTCCTTCGCTGCCTGTGCCATTTTGGATGACAGTACTACGCAGAACTTAAAATAACCTCTGTGTCAGACACCCACACTTCTTATTACTGAACAATGATTGTGAAAATATAACTTTCTATATTAAAATTAAACTTTTTTTCAAAAAAAAAAAAACATGTCCATATGTGGTAATGAAAAAAGAAAGATATCGCCCATTGACCAAGGGATTACATCAGTGGTCTCAACACTCTTTCATAATTCACTCTCTGTGTTCGGTAGCTCACAGCTACTTTGATTTGTTTTGATGTCTGCGCTAACACACACATAAGTAGCTAAATCTGTTCCTGTCTATTTTCATTCTTTTAGCTCCCACCAAGTTTCTTAATGGAAAGCTTAAGGATGCCACAAAGTACGCTGTCTTTCAGCGGTCTTTTTCGGCGGATGGTGATTATGAAAACGAGGGATTTGTTGAATTCAAGACCGCTACAGACAACACGGGTTTAATCGTGGGAATAGTTGTATCGCTCGTTGTTGTAGTTGCGGTAATTGCAGTTGGCATTTTCATCTATCGTCGACGACAAAATAGTGCTCGAGACGAAGAAGATGGAGAAATGCCTCTGAAGCCTCGTAAAAGGACTCTGACAAACAGAATTCGAGGACGAGGTTCAGGCGCTTTCGGTAAGTCACGTTTACAGTGTCCTTGTCACGCTCCATCGTGACAATGCGTTTAACATGCGTTTCGTAATGTAGGCTTACTTTCGGGTCACACGCCCGTTTTTGTTATGTAAACACGAATTCAGTTGAGAAATTTTCGTAATTTCCCAATATCCAGACAACCCCAACCACAACCCTGGAGAGCCGATACCTGTGGAGGAATTTGAGGAACACGTGCGACGCCTACACGCCAACGGCGATCTTTTGTTCTCTCAAGAGTACAGCGCCCTCCGTCCTTCAGCAGAATTCACTTGGAATGCTACCCTCGCTCAGGAGAACAGATACAAGAACCGCTACAATAACATCGTTGCGTATGACCACAGCCGTGTGTATCTCACACCGGTAACAGGTGTGCCAGGCTCCGATTATATCAACGCCAACTATCTTGATGGTTATCAGAAAAAGAAGGCGTACATCGCTACTCAGGGACCCCTCCCTGAGACCACAGATGACTTCTGGAGAATGGTCTGGGAACAAGGGACTAAGACTATTGTCATGGTTCGTATTTATGGACTCTTCAGTGCGCCTTAACGTATTAAACAGAAGCGGATATCTAATAAAAACAGACTATGATTGATTTGCTATTAAGGAATGTTCAGCACTTAAACTTTAAGTTGAGGTTATATTTAAGCAATAGAACACTTTTTCCGTGTTTACATACGTCCTCTAAACACGAGGAGGGTTGGGAGAATTCGAGACAGTTTTCGGGTTTGCATAACGTTCGAGAATTCTTCCAGTCCCCCCGATTTTTTAGATGAGGCTGTGTCAACATGGAAAAATTATAAAATAATTCTCAAAAATACGCGGGAATCTAAAACGTCACAACCGGGCTTTTAGCCAGGACGGAGAGGTGGATTCTATATGGTAAAAGTGGGTAAGTTCATCATGAATACGTTGCAGAGGCTGGAATCGTGTTTTGGTACCACTTAGGCCGGGTGTATTTCCGTTTCAAACTTTTAGGTTTCCGTCGTATTATTTCAAATCTTAGGGTACGTTTTCAACGAGTTAAGTTGTATCTAAGACTAAAAGTAGTTATGAAGAAATCATTTCTATCTGTTGTCACCATTGTCATCATCATTATCATCATCTACTTTTCCCATTTATTACTCGTTTATGAAGGAGTGTTGGTATTGGCACCTAAAAGCGTAAAAATAAGTCATGCCCAAGGAAATATATTCTTGTACCCTAAAGGGCTGTTTTACCTAATGTCACATTTCAAATTTTCTGTTTCAGATTTTGGAGTTTGTATATATTTTTTTTCAACTGCATGAAGCCGTTCTCTTTTTTCAGATATCTATCTTGCGCTACTTTTACTTTCCGCTATATCACATACGTTTTTCTTCTGCTCATTATTGTCTCCTTTCCGTTGTCTGTACAGTGTTTGCTTGTTAAATCTCAAATCCTGTCTGTTCGTCCAGGTAACAAACTTGGAAGAGCGAGGTCGTGTTAAGTGCTATCAGTACTGGCCGTCTGAAGGCGGAGAGGCTTATGGTGACATTCAAGTATCGCTAATGCAGACTGTTGAGCTCAGTGATTTTACTATCCGCACACTGTGTTTGAAGAAATCCAATAGCAGAACTGAGCGGACGGTGAATCAGTATCATTACACGATATGGCCTGACCACGGTGTTCCTACTTGCGCTACTTCAGTGCTTACGTTTGTTAGGAAAGCTTCTGGTGCTAATCCACCTGATGCGGGTCCTATGGTAAGTTACCGTCAAACCTTATAAGGACGATACTAACAGGCTAAAACTGAGCGCAGAGAATGCGTCCCCTCCTTACAGTTTTGAGTGAAAAATGAGACTGATCGCAGTCTTCTTAGGTAGTCGCTCTCTGACCTTCAATGATACAATCTCAAAGTCTAGATAACTCCAAAGTTTTTGTTACTGGTGTAGACGTTCTTTGTTACCCCATATTGCTTTTTCGGTAGCTTACTGGGAAATCATAGCCTGCCCTGTCGTTTGCAATGGGTATTTAAAATATTTTGACTGCTTCTAATATAACGTTAATTAAGTTGTCAAACAACTGAGAAGAAGTCAAGCTCGTTGCTAATGGCTCACGTGGTTCTTTCAGGTTGTTCACTGCAGTGCCGGTGTAGGGAGGACTGGTACGTTCATCGTGGTAGATTCCATGCTGCAGCGCATAGCTGCTGAGAAAACAGTGGACGTGTTTGGATTTGTTATGTCGTTACGACGTGACAGAAACATCATGGTCCAAGTAGAAGAACAGTACATTTTTATTCATGACGTTGTGCTGGAGGCCATCCATGCCGGATACACTGAGATACGAGCAAATGATCTTAGAGCCCACATTAAAGACCTCATGCAAGTCAATCCAGCTAGCGGTGAGTATTTCTCTCTGTCTAGTGCCAACTGCGCGATCTCACGATCTTGTTATAACAGGCAGTATGTGGCACTTTACAACGCCGTTGCGAACGGTACTAGTTGCAACGTAGATGATAGTAAACAACTCATCGCTAACTTTCCGAGAAGTAACATGCATCTGGTGTTAATTACTTCTTTTTATCGCTAGACGAGTTGCGGATGGGGGTGTTACAGGCACTTTTACCGCTCTTGTTATCATTGTGATATCACAGTTCAGATAACTGTGTGCGGCGGGCTCTCTTAGGTCGTCCATATTCCTTTATAGCGTTTCGTGCGTAATCGCTAAACGATGGATTTACAAGGTACATCTGCCAAAGACTAGAAAGTCGTGAGACCCGTGGCGTGAAGTAAGCTATAATTGGAGGTAAATTTTTCTTAATCGATGCACAAACATTCCCAAGTAGAAAGTCTACGTCCGGCCAGGTGGTGCGTACCACTGGAGCTTATCTCAGTTTCCGTGGCATTAAGCTCTAGGAGTATTTCTACTCGCCCCTGGATGGGATGCTAGACAATCACAGGGTTAGTCTCTGCAAAAACTTCGCAGGTAGCCATTCATACACCTGGGTGGGGAAAGTGTGTTGTCCAAGCCGGAACACAACACACTGACTCCAGAGTCCATCCATTAGGCCACCGTGCCTCCCAACTAGCACTGTTATTGTTTATTATATGGCTAGCTCCGTGAGGGGGCAAGATGAATCAAATCCTGCGCTGTGGTTGGCTACCCGAGCGGGCAAGATGGAGCTATCTTGCCTGCTCGGGACTACCCGCCGTGTCCCGCAAGAAAAATTTATTCGAAAGCCATATAATAAATTCTTTATTGACTAAGCTTGTTCGGTCAAGATGGCTGGATGTTGGCCTCGTTTTTTTGCGAGTTTATGGACCTCGACTCCGTCTCGGCCCATAAACACCCAAAAAAAAAGAACTTGGCCAATATCCAGCCATCTTGACCTCACACTTGGTCAATAACCCATACTTAGTATAAATCTACTAGCTATCTATCACGAATGTCGTTTTCTTATTGGCTACGCTACTCTCTATCTACAACAGAATGGATAGTGTGCGCTCGTTAACAAACTGACGGCCGCTTCTTTGCTTCTCAAAGTGTCTGTGAAGAGGATTTAGATTAAAGTTTTAAACCGCTAGTGGATTTATACTAAAGCAATTATATTATTCGCTCTCGATTTCTGTGCGTGGGTGCAGCCAGAGTCAACTACCAGGCGATAAAAATCGAGAGCGAGTAATGTAATTGTTAAGTAGACACCAGTAGGGAGACTTTATTACCTGGCATCAATGTATATGGTCTGCATTTTTTAGGTCAGACAGAAATGGATGAGGAGTTTGTCCGTTTAGGACGCGGCGGTAATGCTACTCAAGTCAAGTCCCAGAGTGCCAACATGGTCTACAACAAGACAAAGAATCGCTATGCAAACGTTTTGCCGTATGATGACTCGCGTGTCAAACTGAGCGTAATCACTGGTATTGAAGGCTCGGACTACATCAACGCTAGCTTTATCGACGGCTACATGATGAGGGGGGCCTTTGTTGCAACCCAGGCTCCCATACCAGACACCATTCCCGACTTTTGGCGTATGATCTGGGAACAAGAGTCTTCCACCATAGTTATGCTCTCCAAAGAGACCGAAAGTGGCAAGGTACACCTAATTTCCGATAATTTCTAGTCCGTCGTGTCTGGTTTAGTAGCAATCTTAATATACTCCAGTAGTTAGCTTAGGAACAAGCTCCTCGCCTACTCGCAGGGGCGGATCTAGGGGAAGGTTGCAGGGGGTGCGCCCCCTCCCCCCTTCTGAGATGAAGCCTTCATCTTCGTATTCGGGTTTAAAATTTGTTTACCTCTAGCTCACCAGTCAGTTACGCCATTACTTGGTGGTGCACCCCTTCTAAGAAAAATCCTGGATCCACCCCTGCTTAGGGGATAGAAAGGGAAAGGGGACAAGGCCTTCTCCCTCTGTTCTGTGCATACCCCGGGTGTACAAGATATTTGCAGACTATCTTGTGGTTCAAGAAATAGAGGGGTCGAAAGCGGAGCATTTAATTTACTTATTTCCTGAGAGCTGTATTACACCTACAACTTAGTAATTGTTTGTTTAGTGTTTTTGGCTAATAATATAGATACAGCGATATATTACAGCGTTAAAGGAAATAATCTTTCGGTTATTTATGACCAGGGACACTTAAAAGAGAAGGTCACTCCAGAAACCGTGTATTTTTTTCCATCACCAATAAAAAGTTCACATTGAGTTGAGTTACTCACCGTTGTTTTAGCTTCTGAAGTGGATGCGATCCCAATGAAAAAGAAGTGAAAAGCTCGACACCGGGAGCCGCCATTTTGAAAGGATCTTGCAGGCCAGGCCGCATATCCGTGACGTCACTCTGTGCGAATTGGCGCGAAGCTCAAAGGCTGAAGCTCTTCCTTTCTGTTCTAAATTCTTTTATTCAGTTGTGAGCTAAAATGTTCGGCCCCAGGCTGTAAAACCCGAACCGAAAAGGATAGGGAAAGTGGAGTGACTTTCCTTAATTTGCCAGCAAAGAACAAAAAATTGCCAAAGAAGTGGTTCCAATAGCTACGTCGGGATCGGATGAGAGATTCATGCAAAAAAACTCGAAAATGTGAATGTGTCAAACGAGCATTTCACAGACGACTTTTTCAAAACTGAATACCGATTTGAGCTTGTGGGTGGAAACACAAGAAAGAGGTCATTGAAGAAAAATGCATTCCGACAGTTTTTCAACGGAAGGCCCTTGTAAAGGCACGCATTACAAGCGAACGGCGCATCGCAAGGAACGAAGAGGTAGCTATCAGTTACACTTTTCATTTTAAAAAGTAATTTTGCCCGGCAGAACTGTCGGACTTGATTTGGTAAATATTATTTCCGCGCAAGAAATTGAAGCTCCTCGCTGGACTACGGGGCTCAAATTTCAAGAAAAAACCTTGGGTCCAGCTGGCCCCTAAGTCTTCAGGTTTGGTCGCCAGCACAAGTATTTTAGTCGCCAAAAATTTTCGACCCTTCAAGCTTAATATATTTTCAAGAAATACGCGCTTGAACGGCGTGAATCACGGGTCAGTTTCATGTATAATCAGTTTGCCGCTTTTCTTCTACAATAACTGGGGAAATGGCTAAATGAAATTCTTTTCTTCATTTACCAGTCTTACCAGTATTTATAAAAAAGCTTCCATGTTGCAAGCTTTAATTCATTGTTTTTCGTAGCCTGGCGCTAGGTTTTTCGTGTTTTCGTTTTCATTGATGCATAGCGACTGCACGCGTTTTTTGGGTGAATTTATTAAATTTCTTAGGGTACTGTGGGAACTTCAAATGCCCAGCAGATTTCTTTAAAATTACAAGTCAGACTAACCCGCTACGGTTTTCTTTTATCGAAAAAGTATTTTTTTCGATTTATGAATCTCTTGTGTGGGCCAAAATCAGAGCGTGTTTAATAATCGGCCTTAACAGCCAGGGATGAGTTAAAAATCCTTACAAATTTTTAAATGCTGTCTAATTTGATTTGGAGTACATCGGAAGAAGTAGTTAATTGTACATCATCAGTCCTATCTATATATCGACAATTACCGATAACAAGTCCTGCTATAGCGAAATCCGATATCCGCATGTAAATAATA